GCTTGTTCTAAATTCAAATTCCTGGATTCTCCCCTCAACTTACTGAATCATGCTCTGAGAATGAGTGTTAATACACTTTGCTGGTAATTTCTCCGCACATGAGGTTGAGAGTCCACTGTCCTGAGAGTTCCCCATATTCTTCTTCTGATTAAGTTTCCAGGCTGGAAGATAAATGGAGAGTAGGTATATTAGCCACTGAATTAATCTCATGTTCAATCTGTCAGTAGTACTGCTTAAGATTAAAACCCCCATATTTAAATATAAACTTTCTACTTTTCTCCAAGACCAGGAGGGGAAGAAGTAACTGATGATTGGGAATACCAAACACTGTGCCTTTTCAGGCTGTGTGGTTAGACACAAAAGAGCTAACTCTATGCAGAAAACGAACTTGCTTGAACCTTATGGATTTGGAAACCAGCATGGAAAGGCTGACCTCATTGTGGCCAAGGTCTCCTTTCAAAACAGTAGGGTTGGGAAGACATATAAGCACCTCTGGGCTTCCTGAACTTCCACAGTGAAAAGTGTGTATCCTATATGCAACTGCTTAGGGAAAAATCCTTCAGATTTTTACTTTTTTCTAAGTACACAATTGTTATTTGTTTTTCCATTTATGCGATACAAGTAAATATGTGAGGCCAGATGATATTTTTTAAGAATTTTCTACACTTAGTTTCTCTTAGCAAAGATAATTGTAGTTATTATTTTCTCCTGTGTCCTTCTAGAACTGTCTTAAGCCTACCTATGGTGTTGATGTCATTGCTAGATATACATTTTGGGACCAGCCCGTAGCACAGTAGTTAAGGCAGCTGTATCTAGCATGGCAGACTGCGTGGTTAGAATTCTGGGCTTGACAGCCTGAAAATCATGTTGGGCGTGTGTACATGCATGGCTAAAATCCTGGGAGGAGAATGGAGAGGGTATTTCACATGGACTTGAAAAATCATGCGAGGCATATGTGCATGTGTGCCCAAAATCCTGAGAGGAGAATGGAGGAGAAGAGATTGCTATGTGACCATCCTCCCACCCTCTCCAGAGGATGCTTTCTTACTTTCTATCTCTCTCTCTCTCTGACTGTGACATGCATCCTATGGTAAATAAAAAAATACATTTCATTTTCACTCATAGAATCATACAATATTAATTCTAAATAACAGCTTTTTCTGTATATGTTACCTTGATTCTTTTATTTCCTTGGTAATTTCCTTTGGCTTAAATTATACTCTAGACCAAATATTCACTTTTAATTCCAAATACTCACTTTTATAACTTTTATCCTTTTCAAATACTCAACTCCTTATTCCTTCTATTTTTTAAAGACAGTATACATGTTACTTAGAAATTAATAATGGGCATTTTATTGTTATTATCCACATAAGGGTGAATGCCTATAGATAGGAATGGATTTGTTAACATGCAACAAATACATAGTCAAACCTCTCTACTCACTCTTTAAATGAGTCTTTTGTTCACTAGTGCTCTACCAGCAAACATATCCTTACCGTTTCCTGCCTCTATTTTCTTTTTCCTCTAGGAACAGTGATCAGAATAGGTGATTTGGCTACCAGGGACAATGTGGTTGGTTATAGAGCTGTCCAGGCATTGTAACACCTGGCGGTCTCCCAGCTCACAATTGGAAGTTCATAATTAGGTTTGAAAAGCTATTTGGTGTGGCAAAGCATTAGTTTGCTCACAAAACCTCTTCCATCCTAGTTGACACTGTCCCTTTTGGGAGTAACGAGAAACAGCTCTAGTGGGTAATGGGAGGACTGAGAATAGAAAAATGGTATCTAAATTTATTATTTAAAAAGGACCCAATCACAGGTCTATGATAGTCTTTTAGGAGAATTTGACAGTGTCAGAGTGAAATGAAGCCCCATAAGCATTTAGCAAAACAGGAACCAGCATGAAGTCACCAAAATGATGCCATCCCTTAATACCCTCAATAACCACATTTCTTTTCTTGGTTCAGTTGCCAGATTGGCAGAGCAGGAAAATGTCATAAACATAGAGAATCAAGAATTCAGAAAAGGGTTTTAAATACCTTATAGAATGTAGGACGGTATTTGATTTGGTTAAGCTCATTCTCAGAAGGAGCCACAACTGCATTGACAGCTAACTGGCCATGAATTACTAGTGCGTTACTCAATATTTACTGGGATACTCATGGGACCTCACAGATGATATGCATGCCGGGAGAAAACAACTGAGAATTCTATTTCTGGAGAAAGTGAAATTTTAAGTAGGCTGGGACAGTGGACTACTTATTACAACAATAATGTGTGCATTTGGAGCTAATATGGACCAACAAAAACAGGTAAGGTCAATTGCCAATTATGGAAAGTCAGAAAAGATGGTGGGCAGATCTATGAAAAAGAAAGAGAAGAGAGTCTTTAGGTGTCAGGTAGGTGGTGTGGCAGAGACTAGGTCTTGCAGGGTCTTTGATCTCCCAGTGACACCAGTTTACAATGAGTTTTATGGGGAAAAAAGGAAAACATCCAGATACCATAGAAGGAATGCTGTAAGTGTTCTTTAGTAATAGTCTTCTCAGTGGATAGGAGCAAGTAGAGAGTCACCATGAATTTTCAAAAGTCCTTAACTAAGAGCGATTTAAACAACTAGCCCTCAGAAGATCAAGTGAGACTTTGGTACCCTCAGGACACTTGATCTCTGGTCTCTCTTAAAAATAGTGATCTTGGGCCCAGCAGTTGGCATCGTGATTAAAGTGCTAGATTCCACACGGCCGAACATGAAGTTCAAGTCCCAGACCGGCTGCTTGTAAAACATTGTCTTGGCTGTAATATCCTTGCAAAGGAATCATCTGAATGCTTGTGTTAAAATGCAGAATTCTCCAACACATCCTATAATTGCTAAAGCTATGTTTTAACAATCCCTTCCCTCATGGTTATGAACAGAAATTTAACAGCTACTCTAAAGGAGACTGTAGGAATCTGGAGGCGTATAAGAGTGAATATATGTATGTAATAGTGGGTAAAGCCTCATGTATGAATACATTATAAGGCCACGAGGGCAGCTTGCTAGTTCATTCATGAGCATATGTGAATGTGTGTCCTGAGCAAGTTTAAAGATCAGATTTATGAAGCAACCATCTTCATAACTTAGTCTCTGGGATATAGAACAAGCAGGTATTTTATGAGACTCTAGATGCATGATAGTAATAACATATTTTAGAGTCACATAGATATGGACTCAGACTTCAATGTTCACCAACTGCATGATTTTGATCAAGAAGTGTGCTTACTGAGCTTTAATGTCCTTGTCTAAAGAACAGAAATGGCAGTGTCAATCCCTGAGGGTATTGTAATTTTGACATTGCTTTGTGGGATGCAGCCTCAACCACAAGATGTGTAAGACTCGAGGGAGTAGAAAGTGGCATGACTTGAGGTGTGAGATCCAGGAGGTGGGAAGATTTCCCTCTAATAAATACCGCTCTGGGGATTTCAGGCACTTCCTTATGAATTCACAATGAAGGCATCAGCATAGTTTCTTCTTCCTCTGATAAAAGCCTGGTTTCTCCTTATACTTTAACACAAGAACAATCTATCTAGTCATGGACTTCCTAAGAAATGATGAACTCCTTGAACTCCATGTTAGCTGATGCTGTCAAGCAGAAACTGGACCATGGAGATGCATGCCCAATCTACCAGCAGACTTTGACTTTGGGTGTCATCTCCCAGTGTCAGGATGCTATGATCCTGAGACCCTGGGTTTCTCCAGTCTCCCAGTGTCTTATTTGTTAGTTGAGTCATGATGACATACTTGGCTCCCACAGCAGGTCTTATTCTCTCACACTTGTACCACTAAGAATAGCTCTTCC